GCCCAGCAGGTCGAGGTTGCGGTGGCCGGGAGCGGCCACTGCACTCCAGTCCGGGCGACAAAGTGAGACTCCAACTCAAAAAAAAATAAATAAATAAAAAATCCCCTCTTTTCTAACTACATGAGGTTGTCTTTTCTTCGTATACTTCAAACAAAAAAATATGAGACTCCAGAATATAGAAGCAGATATGAGAATACAGCTGTTTTCTATGAAGCTGGGTATTAAAGAGATTTGCAAAAATGTAGGACAATGCCACTATTCTCACCAAATATTTTTGCCAATTTTTTCACAAAAATGTTACTTATGTTAATCTATAATGGATTTTTATTAATTTAAAAATCAATATTTTAAAGATTTTTATTTCTAATATGGCAAATATGCTACATATGAGTCACATAAACAAAAGCTCTTTCGGGTCCTCAATTTTTAGAATGTAAAAAAGTCCTGAGACCAAAAGGTTTGAGAATTACTGACTTAGGTAGATTAAAATTTGCCCCCACAATTAGTAAGTGGTGGACCTCAAACCCAGGCAGCCTGACTTCCCAAGTCAGTGCTCTCTTTGTTGGTTTTTACTATAGGGCTTTATCCAGGAGAAACTGGTAATGGATCATATTAGGATTAGGGAATTCCAGGCAGGTAAGCAGAGATGATGTATTCCTGGTTTTCATTGATTATGCTTGTAAGAGCCTTAGCATTCAACCTTATTCCAATTATGAATAAAATACCCTTACCTTGGTATTTCTCAGAGGTAGATGAAGCTTTCTTTAAAATGTGAATAAAAGCCGGGCTCGGTGGCTCAGCCTGTAATCCCGCACCTTTGGGAGGCTGAGGTGAGTAGACTGCCTGAACCCGTGTGTTCGAGACCCGCCTGGGCAGCGAGACCTCATCTCTACAATAAATCAAAAAATCAGCTGGGCATGGTAGCGCGCACCTGTAATTCTGGCTACTCGGAAGGCTGAGGCGGAAAGATCGCCGGAGCCCAGCAGGTCGAGGCTGCGGTGGCTGGGAGCGGCCACTGCACTCCAGTCTGGGTGACAGAGTGAGACTCCAACTCAAAAAAAAGAAAGAAAGAAAGAAAGAAAAGCTCAAAAAATCACCTATTGGATACAATTTGCACAGGTGGGAATGGTAGGTATACTTAAAGTCCAGACTTCTTCACCACTATATAATGGAACCACGTAACCAAAAACTATTTGTACTCCCTAAAGCCATTGAAATAAAGAAAAATAAAAAATAAAATAGAACAATTATAACAACAAAAAGCTGGTTATATTTTATTAAACCAATTTTACAGTCACCCACAGTTTGAAAAACTATGCTCTGCTAGAGTGCTTCTTCAAGACAAGAATATCCCCAAGACTGAGACATGTTAACGCAAGCAGTTCCCAACTAAGGATCAGAATCTTTCCAAACAATGCTCATGTATTACTTGGTTATCTGAGACCTGAAACGTTTCTCATGAAACAATCTGAAAGGTAGTTGGGAAGGAAAGTAACATTTATTGAGTGCTATGGTTTGAATGTGTCCCCCAAAGTTCACCTGTTAGAAAATCAATCCCCAATTTAGCAGTGTTAAGAGGTAGAACCTTTAAGAAACAATTAGATAATGAGGGCTCTGCCCTCATGAATGATTATTCTTGTAGTTATGGTCAGAGTGGGTTCCTGATAAAAGGATGAGTTTGGCCTCCTTCCTTTTCCTCTCTCATGTGCACTCACTCTCTTGCTTCTCAGCACCTTAAGCCACAGGATTGTGCAGCAGAAGGCCCTCACCAGATGCTGGTCCCTCCACCTTGGATATCCCAGCCTCTAGAACTGTAAGAAATAAATCTGTTTTTTATACATACATATATATATATATATATATATATTTTTTTTTTTTTTTTTTTTGAGTTGGAGTCTCACTCAGTCGCCCAGACTGGAGTGCAGTGGCCACTCCCAGTCATCGCAGCCTTGACCTGCTGGGCTCCAGCGATCCTTCCACCTCAGCCTTCCAAGTAGCTGGAACTATAGGTGCGTGCTACCACGCCCA